GTAACTTTTTGTGTTATATACTCAAGTTTTCATTCTTCTTTTGAAATTCTATGTATACGAATATTTTATATATACTTTGTTTTAGCATTTACTTTTATACATTTCTATATTCCATTATTGTTGATATTTATTCCATATATACTCTGTAATAATAGCATTTCCTCTAACTGGGTACTCCTGTTGGAAATAAATCGCTTTTTTTTAGTTGAATGCATATTTCGTGAAACGAGCTCAATTGAAACATGCTATGAACATCATCAATATGGCTTTCGGAAATTAAGTTCAACAGGCGACTTTATATCGTATGTCACCCATAATTGGAATAACGCAATCGAGAAACATGACAAGTCAAGAGCTGTTGCGCTTGATATTTCTAAAGCCTTTGGCCGTGTATGGCGTGAGGCTTTCCTGGCCAAACTTTCATGCTATGGCTTGTCAGGTCATTTCCAGTTTTCCAGCTTCCTACAAATGGCCGTCGATGGATATCTCTCGAATAATTTCACCATCAACGCTGGTGTTCCCCAGGGATCCATTTTGTGTACAACCCTCTTTTTATTGTAAATCAACGACTTTTTTTTTGTTCTGATTGATTCGGCCGTTACTTAATGAAAATCCATAGTAATTTCATAAACTCCACCTCACGATTTAATCTCCACAAAAATTGTACTTTAGTAATAAAATTATAAGATAAAAATAGAGTGAACCCAGTTATGAAATAAGAAATTATTGACCTTCTGTCATTATGTCTCAAACAAAAGTATTATCAATTCATTAACAATATTTTTTCCTCTTCAAATAGTTTAATTATGGAAAATCCGTTAAGCCCCTTACTTGCGAAAATTTTCATGGATAACCTAGAGAAGTCGATTTTTGAATATCCTTTGATTAAGAATTTCTTGCAATGGCATAGATATGTGGATGACGTTTTGGTAAGTTTTACAGGTACTAAGAGACAATTAGATTCTTTTCATAGGGATATTAACAAAATTCATGGAAATATTAAATTCACTATTGAAGTAGAAGCAACAACTCAATCAATTTCTTGGACCTAACAGTTAGTAGAATGAACAAAAAACATGATTTTTTAATTTAGCACAAACCACCTATACGGATCTTACTATACATTACGATTCTACCCATCCATATCAACACAAAGTAGCAGCTTATAATAGCATGATTCACAGATTAGTCAATGTTCCTCTTTCGATAGATAATTTCAATAAAGAACTCAATATCATCAAGCAAATGTGTTACTATTATCATTATTTTCAAATTGAATTTAGGAAAATCTGTTTTTCGGTAGAAAATGACTCTGTATCTAGTGTATCTGTTTTTTAAAATCTTACAAACTTACTCTGAGAAATAATTCGTAAAGTCAATATATACATTGGAATCATGCAATCAACTTACGTTCCTTTATTGTCTGGGATTGGTCACCCAAAATAAAAACAGTCTGTCTTTCATTCGACCTTTCATCTGCTTAGTCAGCATTAGAGCCCTTCAAAATGCAATAAAGTGGACGCGGCGGTGCGATTCAAAAGTCGAACCTTTTTTGTAGCTGATCGTTGAAATTAAATGGTGACAACGAATTGATTCACTTACATGCCACATTTCTCTCGCAAGTGGTTGTAATTAAATTTTATGCGAGTTATAACTTTAGGTAATTCTCCGGAAAGCAATCCCGTAAATCGTTCATTGGTCCTAGTTCGTAACCCAGCATGCAGGGTCATCATAGAAAATACAAGGACCGTCAAACTTTTCAATGCACTACATTGCCACATAGAAACTGATTAGAAAAACATCACCCGATTCTGTTTGAATGTAAATAATAGTTATTATCTCCAACAGGGTCTCTCAGTCAAAAATAAAAATTAAACCCTGTTTTTCTTTGCCGAGCTTTCCCTTCTAGTGGGAAACTTTTTCAGGCCCTATAATTTATTGAGTTGTGGATTTTGTTCTTTTGAATAACATTACAAAATTATAATTACAGTAAACATGAGTATAAAACAATGAATTGACAAATATCACCTTCACGTCTTCACATAAATGTTATTTATCGATGAAGCATGATGATTTGATACGTTAATCGTTAACTCTGAAGAAAGAGTTGCCGATTGATGCGATTTTCATTATACAGGGTGGGCCATCGAAAACTTGACATGGAGGTTTTGGGTACTAATCTGGCAAATCCTAAAAGACGCTCGGACAGGTCGATTTTCATTGGGAGGGGGACAGTTTTTCCCCATTTACAGCGTCGTCACTTCAACCCCGGAGCAGAGGGGTGAACAACCTTTGGAATTTTAATAGGGAACTGGGGGAGAGTCGCACATCGTTTGAAAGATCTTGGAATTCTCTAAACAATGGTGTACTTTTTTTTTTAATTTGACGAACCATACTAAATTTAGAGTTGAAGTTACTTACTTTATTCTCATGTTAGCATATGCTCAAAATGGGCACCTCCAGCTTACATGCAATAATAGAGATTCTGCTGGAAACGTTTTCGAACATTGTGGAGCATTTCTGGAGTGATTTGGCGACATTCATTTGTGATTCGTTGCCGTAAATCTTCGAGTGATGCCGGAGGTGTACAGTAAATTCTGCTTTTCGAATGACCCCACAGAAAGAAATCTAACGGCGGAAGGTCTGGTGATCGTGGTGGCCATTCGATAGTGCCCCGCCTCATAATCCAGTGATCCGGAAAAGTCTGATCTGAATACTGCCGAACAGGCAGAGTATAGTGCGGAGAAGTCCCATCGTGTTGGAATAGGTAATTCTCACTTATTTCAAACAAATGTATGTGTCTGTGTGTGGCTGAAATCAGAAAAAAATCACAATTGCATTCAGTTCGTGAATTAGGTTAACTATTCCTATAAAAAAGTTATTGAAATCATCTGGGGTTATATCCATATCTAATTGGTTGAGTCTATTTTTGTTCCTCTCATAGTTCACAACTCTCCAACAGGCTTTTGATTTGTTGTCCGAGGAAGCGATAAATCGATCATTTGCACTCTTTTTGGCATATGTTAATTGTTTCTTATAGTCAGATTTCAGATTTTCATAGATATTCCAATGATGATCATCTCTGCTAATATTACAAATGGATTTTGTCTCAGTTAGTTTTTTTCTCATTTCTTTCATGTACATTGGATCAAATAACATCCTAGCATTTTGCCAAGAAGCTATGACTATGTTTGACAAAAAACCCTTTCGCCCGGATATGACGATGGATCTATTTTACAGTGGATGCATCTTCACACGTGAACACAAACAGAACATCTGTAGTAGGGCTTTAAGACCCTCAATAAAACTTTTATTTCGCATGCCTCTAGCTGAATGGTAGTAAAGAAACAAATTGTGTTGAAATGGGATGAAAAGGTTGCCCAAATGGTGATAAAGAGGCCATGTGTAGACACGGTCCGAACATAATTGCTGCGTGGCGCTTCCCTAAGCCACCCATGATGACCGGCTTGTCTTACACTTCAACACTCATTTGTTTCAATATTTTGACTGCGGTCCTGGCGCCGAGCGGTATTGGCTTTCTTCGGTTTCTGGAAAAATAAGAGAACATTTGAGGGGAATACATTTTTATTGCAATGTTAAACAGACTTGTTGAAAATTATATAGGGTGGTATAAAGTATCTAAGAAGCAAATGATGCGAAATTTCAGGAAGTTTTCAACCCAATTTTCATTTTATATTTTATTGTTATATTATACGGCGTGACTCACGGTCGATGGTAGGTTGGACGTTTCTGGAAAACGCAAAGCATGATTTTTCTGAAAATTTCACCTCTCACATTTCCTTACCTGTTCTATCGATCTAAAATATTTTCAGCATTGCGGCGTTGCCACTTC